TGGGGGAAGAAGAGGAATTGAGACTGGGTTACTTCCTATGTCTTTTCTTCCTCTGTGCAAGAATAAAGTGAAAAGAGTGTTTCAATTGTAATCTATATTCATTACCTTACCTTGCAACAAGCATTTATGGAGCATCTACCACGTGCTGGGTATCATGCTGGTGTTCCCACCTTCATGGGGCTGATATGCTCACTGGAGCTTGCTCTCTAGGGCCCCAGGCCCAAGGACTCTCACATTAGCCATCCAGTCTTGGCCCATGTGCCATTCTTCTCTGGATTTTCTCCAAACCAGGCCCTGGATGCCTCCTCCCTCTCCCTCTTCCTCAGTGTGACTGGGAAACAGTATTCTTCAGTGGCTCTCTTCCTGGCAAAGCTGTCAGCCATATTTTTCCTGTCACTGTCATGTTCATGACCACCTGATGGCTTTCACAGCCTCTCAGCCTCTCACCACCTGGCCAGCCCTCCCAGACTCCATAACTGCCTTTCTGACTTCCACAAAGGAGCAGTTGTTCCCAGTGCTGCTGCCACTTCAGCTGGGATCTGCCCAACTTGCCCCACTCCACAGCCCACTTGGACAACAAGTTCCCTCAGTCTTGGAGTTACAGTACCTACTCACCTGCTAATGACCCCCCTTCTAATGCCATTACCTGGGTGACTAGGTTTTAACATACAAATTTTGGAAGGACACAAACATTCAGATCACAGCACTTGAGTCCTGGATGGACACCATGTGCCATGCACCCCTCTAAGTGTTTAATCCTCAGCACAACCCCCGAGGCAACTCACTATGATTGTCATCTCCAGCTTATGGATGAGGAAAATGAGGCACAGGTATTGTATGCAGTCACAGATGTGAGAGTGGGGCAACCCTGGGGGCAGTGGGTGCTTGTCAGGTTGGATCTGGGTGTGACTCTAGCTCCAGTCTCCCTCCATTCCCAGACGTTTCCAGGCCTTATTCTCTAGCTTTCCTGAAGAGTCTGTGGGCCACCCAGTCTCCTCTCAAAAAGTTTCTTTGCTATTTACACCAGCCAGGTTCTGTTTCTGTTGCTTATAAGAACCATGAAAACACCACAGTCCTGGATGACGTCTCCTAGCTCAGGAGGCACAGGCGCCAGCGGTCTCCACGCCAACCAACATCTGGGAAAAACTCATCTGTAAAGAGCGAGGGCAGGGATAAAGGGGGCCCAAGGCTGCATGTGCAGGGTCCTCTGCCCTCAGAGAACCTGAAGTAGAGAAGGAAAGACTGCATGTTCTGCGTTCACAGAACAGTGCCATGCTAGAGCAGAGGAATAAACAAAAGTCACTTCCATCACACAGGACAAAAGGAATTAAGGAGGTTATATTTGAGCTGGTTTCTAAGAATGGGCATTAGGACAAGCAGGAAAGGAGGGACAGGGATAATAGGAATAAAAACAGTGAAATAAAATACAATGGAAGAAAGAGGAAGGTGTGTTCAGTGAACAAAAGCGGGGTCTCACCTGGGTGGACAGAGGTGGAAAGTGGAAATGAAGGAATAGGTTGAGAGTACAGCATTTTCTTTCACACGCATTCACATATTTACAAACACACATGCACAGACCTGCCCATATAGAGAAACATGCACATACATGAGGTGTATGTGTATATGTACTTGTACGTGTGTGTGTGTGTGTGTATGTGTATAATGTGTGCGTGTATATATATATAAAATTTACAGCACTTTGGTCGAGAAAGTCCTTAAAAGAGTTCAGCTTTATCTGAATTCTCTGCCAGATCATCAGCAGTTCTCACAAAAGCATCCTGCCTCTTGCTTTACTCATAGAGGATATAGAGTCATTTACGGCTCTAAAGGTATCAGCCATTCATCTTCAAAGTCTCTGAAATAGTAAGACTCACAGGCTGGGGATGCCAGAGCAGCCACTCAGCAAACATCTGCTGAAGCAGTTTCATAAAAAAAGCTGCTGCATCAGGCACCCTGAGGGCCCTGAGATGCATTTCTAAAGACTCTATGAATATGCCTCTTTGAGTTCCCATGGGCACAGCTTGCCCACATCACCAACTTCGAAGCTGTAGTCTCTTTCAGTGCTCAAGAGAAAGGCACCTCAGCCAAAGAGGAAAGCGCGAACCTGGCTGAGCTGCCTAGTTGCCAGGCCCGCCCACGGAGGCAGAAAGCAGAGTGTAGAAAACAGAGTTTACCAGCTAGCTTCATCTAGGACTAAAAATGATACTCCAGAACATAGATCACAGAAGCTTCTAGGCAAGTATCAAACCACTTTGTATATGCCCACAAAAGTCCAAGCAGCAAGGAAAGAATGACCTCGTATTGGTTTTCTTTGTTGGGGGTAAGATTTCTAACCCAAAAACAGCACAGCCAGTGACCAATCTCCGAGCATTTGTTTTGAGTACATGTCATCAATAACTAGATCTGAGCTGGAGGGCCTTCTAAACATAAAATATATTTCTGCAGCTTGAAAAGAAAGAAAAGGCTGTTAGGAGATGGTTTGAATTAGGTAGAGTGGAGACAGGAATTTGCCTGAAATCCCTGCCTCTCCTCTGCCCTTGGGCAGTGATTCACTGCCTGACTGAGACAAGAGAGAACACCTGGCCTGGTCCATGCCCTGCAGCCTGGCTGGGTGACAATGGACTGGGCAGAGGTGATGGGCAGATTCCAGGAGGGCTGCTGAGGATGACTTTGAATATCATTATCTATCTCCCATGGCTCAAGAAATCTGACTATCTCTGAAGATTCTGTCTAGGGATCATTATAAGCATGATTCTATAGCCTGTGTGATCAGCGGTGGTGCAGGTCCCTTACGTGTTACTACCATTAAAGGCACAATTAAGCCTTGAAAGCTAGAGGTGCAATTCAATCTCTATAATGGTGTTAATGGCTCAAACAACCTTGAAGCAGCTGTCATATTCTAAAAGATCATTCTGAATTGTTTTATGTCTGAAATTGCTCTGTAAAATCGTGTTAATTTTTCATCTTCAATTGGGAATATATTTAATGCCAAGAAGATGGCTTTCTTCTGGCCACATTGCACAAAAAGGGACAGTTTCATTTAGGATTTCATCTGGTGACAGGATCATTCTGGAGAACTAAACTCCACTGAACGAAGCTGAGCTCAGCCCTCTATGTCTTGGTTCCATTTGTTTCTAAGGAAGAGTCCAAAGTAAAGAGTAGGGTAAAGGATATGGCCCAGTCCAGAGCCCTCTGGGATTTATTTAGATTGGCATCACTTTCTCTAAGAGGAAAAAAGAAAAAAAGATGAACTGTGGTCCTGCCCATGTGAACAAGTAGACAGGTCCCATCCTTGGCACTCCCACTGCCCCCTAGCTGTCCACACTATGGCCAATATGTGATACACTGTGTTCTAATTATCTCATTATTTGTCTGTTCCCCAAATGAACTGTGAACCCCTTGAGGGAGGGGTTGCATCTGATTCACCTCGGTATCCCCAGTAACTATCAGAACAGTTAATGAATGGGGCACTGCCTCCACTGACTCATGAGGATGGATAACAGGTAAACCAGGGAAAGGAGACATTAGGTATCCAACCACAAAGAACACACATAGGAAAAACGTTTCAGAGACAGTTAGTTGGAATCTCTTTAATCACTGACCAGCTCCTTAAATAGTGACTTAGAACATTTCAGAAGTGCAATTGGTATTCATGTTATTTTCCAATAAAAACAATGACAGCTAAAATGCACTGTGCACTTTCTGTATGGTACTGCTGTATTAAGGGCTATACATACATCATTTCATATCCTCTCACTAACCCTCTGAGGGAGGCTGTATCATTATCCCTATTTCACAAATAGGGAAACTGAGGTTCAGAAAGGCAAAGTTGCTTGCTTAAGATCACACAGCCTACAAGAGGAAGAACAGGACTTAAACCCATAGTCCTTGCTCTTGACTACTGAGCTCTTGTGTATGATCTGGAAACTGGATGCTGTGACAGAAACTGGCCCCTGGTATCTTTGAAATCTTGATGGGAAACAATGTGGCACATTTTTTACTTTGAAAATCCCATGACTTTCTGGCTTATTTTTCTAGGAGGATAGTTCTTTGTTTAGAAGGTTTTTAGGTATGACCAAACAGAGCAAACTACTACTCAATAACAATAGGATAAAGATGCTGAAAACAACTTAAACCCTTTATAAACGTCATCCCATTCAGCCCTCACAACCACCCCCATGAGGTAGATATGATTATTATTCACATCGTAAGATGAGAAAATTCAGACCTAAAAAGATGGGGTGATATGCCCAAGGTCACAGTCACAAAGTAGAACACACTGTCTGACCAGAGTCCATCCGATGTCAGAGCCCTGTCCTTGGCCACTATAATCCCAACTGGAATCAGCAGACGGGAACTTCGGGAAAAATAAACTCTAGAGTTTATGTGAAGACTGGATTTGAGGCACACAAGCCTGGAAATAAGGAATTCTCTTAAGGTCCATGTTGCTTTATACTCTGAGAAAAGACCGCAGCTGTTTCCATTGCACCCCTAGGAGCTCTCCAGTCCTTAAATGCCATTCCACAAATTGGAAGAAGAAAACAAAGGCACCACATCAGGGGTCAGCAGACTACAGCCTGCAGGTTACATCCAGCCATCTATTTTTGTAGATAAATTTTACTGGAACACAGTCATGCCCACGATTTACATTTGGCTGCTTTTGTGCCTGAACAGCAGAGCTGAGTAGTTGCAACACAGACTCTATGGCTGGTAAAGCCTAAGATATTTACTATCTGGGCCTTTATAGAAACTGCCAACCCCTGGACTACATGTTAGAGAGCCTGATGTAGACAACCAGCCAGAGAAACAGCAAGCCCAGAAGTTCCAGGCAGAACAGGTACATGCTTCACCTCTCCAGTTGATACCTGACACACTCAGCTTATAACTGTGCTTTTCAAAAAAACGAAACAAAACAAAACTATATCCCAAACCAGTCAGCCCCTGCTTCTCAACCCCCTGACTCTTCACCTTCTAAAAGGAGCAGCGGCTGGGAGTCTTACCTTTGTTGTACATGTTCGTTGGTACTTGGACGTCACTTAGACTGATGTTCACAGGCAAATTATTAAAATGGTCATTTGGGGCTAAGATGAATTCCTTTCCCAGCTCCAAAAAATTCCCGTCTTTGTCCCTTTCATTTATCAGCACAGCATTGAAGTATTCATACTGAAAGACAAAGTCAACAAACATTACATGTGGCTTAGGGAAGAGGGCTGTGAACTCACTTAGACCTGGGCACAGGCCATGTGCCATCCCCTACACTGTGGACCCTGACCTGCTCACATAATCTTTTTATGTCTTATGTACTGTCCACGGCTGCTTTTGCATAGGTGAGATAGCATTATATAAATATTTTCCAAAGTCACTAAATATTCCTAGAAAACATAAATGTCAAGGGGCAACACAGTACTTCCTTATGTGCATATAGAGAAAACTGCCCTAAAAACGTTTTAATTCTTTAAATTTTGAAGAGAGACCCTGACTTTATGCAGCCTATATCAAGTTGAAGGAGGCTGAAAATCAACAACAAAAAAATAACAGGTAAATATATGTCAGATCATCATGCTTGCTTTGGAAAAATAATACAGCAGGGTAAGGGGATTAGCAGCTTCAGAAGGACTGTGTGTTTATACATGGCATTTGGGAAGGTCTCGCCACAACGGCAACACTCACATAGAGATTAAACGAGGGGAGAAATCCAGTGGTGTGAGCATCAGGGAAGCATCCAAGAAAGAACAGCAAGGAGAAAGCCCTCAAATGGGAGTGTGCTGGCATGATTTACAAAAGGCTATATGATCATCATCTCACATATATAGAAGGCTTACTTTGTGTCAGAAATTACTCTAAGTGCTTTTCATGTGTTAACTCATTTGATTCACCTAACAATGTTATGAGGTTGATTTTATGAGTATTCCTACTTCACAAATGAGGTCGCTTAGAAATAGAGAATTTATGCATCCTGCAAAAAAATTACACAGCTGATAAGGAGAGCCAGAATTCAAATACAGGTAATCTATCTTGAGTCTGTGCTTAAATCTACTGCATGAGATGGCCGATGGCAGGTGTGGGTGGAATTAACAGAGCAGAACCTTAAAATAACTACAATTAATATGCTCCAGAGGCTAATGGAAAAAGTGGATAACATGCAAGAACAGATGGGTAATATAAGCAGGGAGGTGGATATTCTATGAACGAATCAATGTGAAACGCTAGAAATCAAAAACGTTATAACAGAAATGAAGAATACCTTTGCTGATTCATTAGTAGACTGGACACAATGAAGGAAATAATCACAGAGGATGAAGATGTGTCAAAAGAAACTCCCCAAAAAGAAACGCAAAAAGAAGAGAAAATACAAAGGGAACAGAATATCCAAGAATTGTGAGATAATCACAAAAGGTGTAACATATGTGTAATGGGATACCAGACTGAGAAGAATGGAAACTGAAATATTTGAAATAATAATGGCTGAGTATTTTCCAAAATTAATGACAAAAATCAAGCTACAGATCAAGGAAGTTCAGAGAATACTGAACGCAATTAATATTACAAAGATTTACATCTACACATATCATATTCAAACTGTATAAAATCAAAGAAAAAGAGAAAATCTTGAAGGAAACCAGACAGAGGGTGGGATAGTCTTACCCGTAGGGGAACAGGGATAATGATTACATCAGCCTTCTCTTCAGAAGCCATGCAGGCAAGAAGAGAATGGAGTGAAACACTTAAAAAGTGTTCAAAGAAAGAACCATAGACCTAGAATTCTGTATCCCATGAAATTACCCTTCACAAGTAAAGGAGAAATAAAGACCTTCTCAGGCAAACAAAAATGAAGGAATCTATTGCCAGTAGACTTGACTTGCAAGAATTATTAAAGGTTCTTAAGAAGGAAGGAAAATGATATAGTTTAGAAATTGTCATCTGCAATAAGAAAGGAAGTGTTTGGCCAGGCACAGTGGCTCACACTTGTAATCCCAGAACTTTGGGAAACCAAGGCAGGAGGATTGCTTGAGCCCAGGAGTTCGAGAACAGCCTGGGCAACATGGTAAAACTCTGTCTCTACAAAAAAAAAAAAATTAGTCGGGCAAATTAGTCGGGCGTGGTGGCACCCGCCTGTAGTCCCAGCTACTTAGCAGGCTGAACCAGGAGGATCACTAGAGCCTGAGTCATGATTGTTGTGCCAATGCCCTCTAGCCTGGGTGACAGAGTGAGACGCGTCTTATAAAAAAAAAAAAAGTGTTAGAGCAGGAATAAATGAAGGTAGATATTTTGCTATTCTTAACTAACATATAACAGCTTGTTTAATACATTACTGTCTATGGACAAGTGAAATGAGTAATAGCAGTATTACAAGAAACTGGAGGGAGGAATACTCTGTACTATGATTTGAATGTGTTCCCTCCAAAATTCAGGTGTTCCAATGTGACCATAGTAAGTGGTGTGGTCATTAAGAGATGAATAGGCCATGAGGGCTCCTCCCTCATGAATAGGATTAGATGTCTTTATAAAAGGGATTGAGACAGAAGGTCTGTCCTTTTGCCATTCTATCTTCTACCAGGTGAGGAAACAACACTCTTCCCTTCAAGAGGATACAGTATCAGTGCACCATATTGGAAGCAGAGCAGCCCACACCAGACACCAAACACGCCAGCACCTTGATTTTGGGCTTTCCAGCCTCCAGAACTGTGAGAAAATTAATTTCTTTTCTTTATAAATTAAGAAGAATTTATAAAGTCTCAGGTATTCTGTTGTAGCAGCACAAATGGGCCAAGACACTCAGTTATAAAATACCCGCACTACACATGGAGTAGTGTACAGTTATTTGAAATGAACTTAAATAAGTTGTAAATGCATACTGCAAACTTTAAGGAAACTACTGAAATAACTGTAAAAGTAAGCATAATTTATATGCTAAGAGAGGAGAGAAAATTAAGTCACATAATATGTTCAATTAAAACTAGAGAAGGCAGAAAAAGAGTAGAAGAAAGAAAAGTAAGAGAAGGAAGGAAGGAAGGAAGGAAGGGAAGGGAAGGGAGGGAGGGAAGGGAGGGAGGGGGGAGGAGGGAGGGACGGCGCATGAGCGAGTGACTGGGGAGTGAATAGAAAACTGTTACAAAATATGGTACATATAAATCCACTACATCAATAATCACCTTGAATGTGCATGGTATAAATACGTCAATCCAAAGACAGAGGCTGTCAGAGTAGATTAAAATATAAGATCTAACTATATTTTTTCCATAAGAAGCCCACTTTAAACATAAAGATACAGACACATTAAAAGTAAAGAGATGAAGAAAGATATACCATGCTAACATTAATCAAAAGAAAGTGACAGTAGTTGGTTTAATTTCAGACAAAAAAGACTTCAGAGCAGGGAAAATCATCAAGGAATAAGATGGGCAGGCATTAATGATAAAGAGGTCAATTCTCTTAAGAAGACAAAGCAATCCTTAATGTAGTATGCATCTAACAGCAGAGTGTTAAAATACATGAAACAAAGACTGATATAACTGCAAGGAGAAACAGATGAACTAGCTATCATAGTTAAAGATTTATATGCCCCTGTATCAGTAATTGACAGACTCAGGAGACAAAACATTGGTACGAATATAGTTGAAATGAACAACACCATCAATTGGATCTAATTTACATTTACAGAATACTTCATCCAGCAAGAGCAGAATACACATTCTTCTTAAGCATGTAAAGATGCTTGCTTGGAACATTCAAGATAGACCACATTAGGGGCCCTAAAACACATCTTCACAAACTTAAAAGAATGGAAATCATACAGTGTCTGCTCTCAGACTACAATGAAATTAAACTAGAAATCAATAACAAAAAAAAGATAGCTGAAAAAAAAATACCACAATATTTGGAGATTAGACAACATACTTTCAAAAGAATTCTCAAGATATTTTTCTAAAAGTTAAAATGAAAATACAGCCTATCAAAAGGTGTGGGATGTAGCAAAAGCAAAGCTCACAGGTAAATTTATAGCACTGAACACATGTACCAGAAGAGAAAAGAAGATCTAGAAGCAATCATCTAAGCTTCTACTTTAGGAAACTAGAAAAAGAAGAGCATATCAAATCTAAAGTAAGCAGAAAAAATGTATATTTTTTATTTTGCAAAGCAGAAACCAATGAAATTAAAAACAGAAAATCAGTAGAATCAATGAAACCAAAAGTTTGTTCTTTTTAAAGATTATTATAGTACAACGATCCAAATAAAAATTAACAAAGGGAAGGGGTACATAAGGCAAAGTCCTAAGGAATTCAGGTGCAAGCTTCCAAGAGTTCTGCCCCAGTGCAATCACACAGATTATACTTAATTCTTCTAGTAATGAGTTGTAATAAAACATTGGAAGTGGTGTCTAATAGAGACTCAGCACTCAGGATTTTACTGGGGGTTGGTCCTGTAGCAATACTACTTTCAAACTTAACCTAGTTAACAATTATAGAATTCCATACCTAACAACTGCAGAGCACACATTCTTTTCTAGATCATATATTGGGCCATCAAATAAGTCTCAATAACTTTAAAATGACTGAAATCCACATATTATGTTCTCTGATAATAATGGGCTAAACTTAGAAATCAATGTATGATATTGATATGAAAAATATCACTGATATCTAGATTTTATTAAAAGATGATACCTGGAAATGGTCTAAAGATGTAGATATTAAACAAAATGCTTATTAATAATACATATGTCAAGAAAAAAATGACATGGGAAATTGGAAAATGTTTTGAAATTAATCATAATGAAAACAACATACAATATTTGTGAGATGCAGCTAAAGCAGAGCTTAGAGAAAAAGTTACACATTTAAAAGTTTATAATATAAAAAGAAAAAAATTTCAAGATAGTCTACCTTAAGATTCTACCTTAACAAGGTATTAAAAAGATGAATAAATGAAACTCAATGTTAAAAGAAGGAATAAAATAATAGAGGTAAGTACAGAAGTTTAAAACAAAACAAATAACAGGAAAAAATAAATAATACCAAAATTTGGTTCTTTAAAATAATTAACAAAATTATGAAAGTCTAGTTAGACTGATTAAGAAAAGAAGTAAGAAAGCAGAAAATACCAGTATCTGGGATGAAAGAGGAAACATTACTCTAGATCTTGCAGACAATGAAAGGATAAAG